ATTTTGCATCCAAGATCTTCAGTTATAACTGCAGCTGTGTTGTACATCAGTTGATTTGTTTCTTGCAGTGAGCTGGTATTTATATTTGATATTACAGTATTGGCATATTTTAATACTTGTGCTAGGTTTTTGGGGTTTTTTTGTAACAAGCTTCAATGCAGGCAATCTTATTCTGTTGTTTTTTTGCTATTCTAGATGCTCAGTCATTCTTCATTTCAGTTCCTCTTGTTTTTCAGTTAGAGGACTTTGTTCTTTCTGAGGAGAAGGTAGAGGAAAAGGTGCCTGATTTGGTAATGAGAATGGTTCAATAGTGATGCTGGCTTCCTTTACTACTGACTCCTCCTGGATTGTCTCTACTGTCTGAGCTACTGCTGGCAAGGCTTTGATTTCCTTGACCTGGGTAGACCTTTGCAGTTCTTCCAATTCTACTACTGTCAATACTTCATTTTATGTTATAAATCTATGTTGATCTACTAGCCTGCGTTCTGTTATTTCTGATTCTGGATTTCTTCTTTCCATAACTGGTGCATTCTTTTCAGATATCCCCTTCTCATTGGACTTGATTTGTAATAGTAAATCATTATTTCTTTGTTTTCAGTCTTTGTATATTTGCGATGGGTAAGCAACTTTTCTTCTAGTAGTCCTGCAGCTGCTGGCACTGGTTGCTCAGCCAACAGTCCTGAGTTCTATAAGATGTCCAGGAACTCAAACACCTAGCGCGGTCCTTGTTGACCCGGGCAATGACCAATCTGGTATAGATTTCTGTAAGTTATGTCTCACCATATTGTTTATGGGATGAACACTCTTTGTCTGGCTCCTCTAATGAGACCTGTCCAGTATGGTTGAACCTCTGGCATAGCTCTTATCTTCCTCAAAGTATGGAAGCCCCAGAATCACATCAAGGTAGTCCCTTACTGGGGGAGATATTACTATTATTATTATGATTGGTCGCACAGTCAGCCAGATGTTTAAACTGGATTTGGCATTTTTATCTACCTATCAAGTCCCTCCCAAGGACCTGGGATAGGCAGATGTTGTTTGATGGTGTTAAAGGTATCGTTACAGGATATAAGCTGTTCGAACTAAAGCTGCCTTTTGCAATTGTCTGATTATTATTATTATTATTATTATTATTATTATTATTATTGGTCGCACAATCAGCCAGATGTTTAGACTGGATTTGGCATTTTTATCCACCTATCGAGTCCTTCCCAGGGACCTGGGATATTGTTATTGTTATTGTTACTGTTATATATGCTGTCTGATTCCCAGCAACTCTAGTAAGGCTCCATGAGAACTTGCATAAGTGTACTGATTTTTTTTTCAAATTGTCAGCCAAGCCAGTTGAGGAGAATGAAGAAGTGCCTGAAGCAGAGGGAGATTTGGAAAACTTAAATGAGGAAGAGATTAAAAAGCTACAGTCTGATGAGGTATGATTTCTGATTTTGTGTATCTAGCCTGAGTATATGGTAATTATTCCAAGACCTTAGCTTAATGATCTCTTATATAGTAATATCTATTCACGTGATATTGTCCTACCCCTAACAAGATGAAATGGAAATAGTTCAGACCTCATACTTTCCTTCACTTAATGGAGTAAGGCCAGAGGAGCTCATAAAAAGTAGAAAACCTTCCTCTTTTTATGAAATAATTAAACTTTATGATTTTCTGCTAAGCTGAATGCTCTAGGAAGCTTTTCCTGATTACAGTATTGGTATACCTTGCACAGATTATTTTATCTTGGTCAGCTTTTCTTACTGAAAAGTTGATGATGCTGTTAATTTCCATCTTCATACTTTGTATGGTTCTCTTGAGAAATATATCAGAGTAGTGCACTCTGAAGGGCTTGAAATGGCTAAGATGTGTCCGTTGGAGTCATCTGCTCCAACTTAAAAGATTAGCCCTTCAAATGTGTTGTGTCTCCTCCTGAATTCTGACAGAACATGACCTTTGGGATTATGTTAATAATGACAATGTAGGCTAGACATTTTAACTCATAAATAAATAAAGTTGGCTAGAATTCTGGAAGATATAACACTGACACAGCCAGAGGGCACCCAGCTGGAAAAGTCTGTAAAGTTTGTGTTGTCTTTAGTTCAGTTGTTTTACTATACAGCTGCTAAACTCTGCCCTCTCTGGTGTGTAAATAATACAATCAACTATTCAGCAGGAAAGGACAAGAGAAAATCAAACCCCACTAACTCTCCAGAGGCAGAGTCATTGATAGGGCTGTGCTCATCCCTTTTCTGCATATTCTAGTCCTAATCTTATTAGAACAACTTTCCCTAACCCAGTGTTTCTCAACCTTGGCCACTTGAAGATGTGTAGAGGTCAACTCCCAGAATTCCTCAGCCAGCATGCTGGTTGGGGAATTCTTGGAACTGAAGTCCACACATCTTCAAGTGGCCAAAGCTGAGAAACATTGCCCTAACTTGATGACCTTCCAGGGATGTTGGAGCTACAACTCCCAGAAAGCTGAACTAAGGATATGCAAATAGATGACAGCTTCTGCACATCTATGCTTCCCCAGTTAGTCTGAGATCCTGTTCTGAAATACACCAATCTGCAGGGTAAATATTATTCAAAGAGGAAGATATTGGTCCCCCTTTATTATTCTTCTGAATTCTACTTAGTACCTTCTGATGGTTATTTTGCCCACCACTTTAGTTTGCATAACTGCAATTTGCTCTGTAACATTTCAAATTCCGCTTAGGGTACTGCAGGTCTGGAAGTTACTGCTTATGAAGAAATGTCCAGTCTGGTGAATTACATCCAACCCATCAAATTGGAGAGTTTTGAAATTTCAGCACGTAAGGACAATTTGTTTTCTCCGATTAAAGAAAATGTTTCTGTATGGTTGAAGCAAGCCTCAGATATACAGTATTTCCACTGGAAATTGTGTATTTGTTGTGTAAATGTCATTCTTTAACACTGTTCTATGTGTTTTAGGACCTATATATAGGGGGGAAAAACCTACGTGTAGTAGCAATATGGTACAGGGCAGTACTAGTCAGGAAAAAGGTATTACACCCCTAGATGAATTGTATGTTTCAATGATTCTCTAAGTGAGCAGAAGCTAACACAGCTTCTACATGGTACAAAGTTAAACCTTTCAGCAAATTTGAATGAATACCGACTACTTATGTGCAGTTGTTTCCAGATTCAGAATTTTAAAAATCTTTCTGATAGAGCCTTTCCCCTGTGTCTTCATCTGCCTCTCCATGAAGAGTCTAGGACAGGTGTCCAAATGAAGTGTTTGCAGTGTCTTTTTAAATTAGACTGAAGGCCAGCTGAGTTAATCTGAAACATGTATCTAGCCCTACAGCTGCATTTGCCCATCCCTCTTCTAGAGGCTACTGGGACTACAGCATCATATGGGCCAGGTGAGCCTACATTCCAAGGCAGAAATTTGGGAGATTTGGAATTGTTGATGCACAGCAGGTGTTTGTAATCTATGGTTTCTTCTTCAGAAGTGTGTAAACCCAAAGAACTTTACCTGCTTATGGACTTATTGTGCATCACTGATTCATTGAGAGCTAAGAGGGAGAAGATTGTGTACTTGTAGCCATGTATTATTATCTGTATTTTCACTACAGTTGCCAAAATTTATCAAAACATTCTCTAATTTGGGCCAAATATTGAATGACAATGGAAGAATTTATGAAACTGATGCAAACCCAATGAAATTGTAGACTTTGTCCCTTCTGTTTGATTAAAAGTACTGAAGAATAAATAATAATGAAACTGAGACAGCTAATTCAAAGAAATTATTTCCTATTAAAGACATTCAATTTCTGCAAATGTTAGCAGGGGGAAAACTGACATGATTCTATGTTCTAGTCAAAAGTTGCAATACATTTAAAAGAGCTAAATTTTTCTCACCCCTTCCTGAATTTAGAACAACTGATGGGCTGGACTTTGACTTTCAAAATTCCAAGTCAGCATTCACTCAGCTTTGAAAGTTGATCTACAGTTTCCACTCCACTTTCAAACATGTTCCTAGACACAACAAAAATGGTCTCACTGCACATAAGTCGAAGTTTGCTGTACCATTATTTCATGAGGGTTCTACAGCTTGTGGCAGGTTTACATGAACATTATCCTCCCACCAGGAAATGCAGTTTAATAGTAACTTCGATTAGGTAGCTGTTGATTTCTTCCATAATATCTGCAGAGGTGATGTTGTCTACAAATTTGTTTCTTGCCATAATAATCTCCCTGGATATGCTTTCATGCTGGAAGGAATCCTAAAATGAATTTCTACTTGCCCCCAACTTTCCCTTTCTGTGTCTTCTTTTAACTCTATGTGAGGAAGCATGTGCAACCGGCATTTTTATTTAGAAATAATAGCAAGGATTGGAGATTAAATGGAAGAAGGGGAGGATTTAGAAACAGAGGACTGACTTTTTTCTATGCTATCTTCCTTATTTTTCCAGAAAAGAACCAGAGTTATGTTGTTTCCTCCTTCACTGAGTTGAAGGCGTATGAGTTGTTGACCAGATCCCCCATCCAGTTTGTAGAGTATCCTTTTCTAAAGCATCTCTTCAGTGATCAGTTATGTTCTATATACAGAAGCTCATTACAGTTCATTCATACATGCCCAAACAGAATGTCTCTCTGTAAATGAAAATGGGATAATAGTTGCACATTCCATGGCATTACTACTACACATAATGTACAGTCACATACAGAGTATATTAATTGCTGTTTTTATAATTGTAAAAAGACGTGGTTATTAGCTAGTTGCAGTGTGATTGTAATATTAAGTATTAGGGGTTCATTTAAAAGCAAAAACAGTTCACAATGAACCACACTACCTAGAGGTCATGATTGTTGTATCAATAACTGTCGGGATTACCCCAGAAAAACTCTTGCTTCTATTTTATGTGTGCAGAACAATTATAGACAATAGCAAAGATGGTTTATCTCTGATAATCTCCTGTCCCCATTGCCTCTGTGTCCCTTAACCATACTGAACACAGAATACTCTTTGTTCACTTTCAGTTGCATAATTGTTTGTTTTAGTATAATATGAATTAAATGGATAGTGAATCTGCAGGAATAGCATTTCACATAATGTGTACAACTGTTTATACTATAAAATCAGAATAGTCATTGCCTTCATTCAAATAATGGTCTCCTATTAAAAGAAACTCAGCTATAACAAAAGGCAGATGAGCCGAATTTATCCCAAAGGGACCCGGATGGATTCATCTAACTATATGCCACAGATGTTCTGGAATGTTGGGTGCCAAATGGTGGCATTAAACTTTCAGACAACAGGTGAGTGGAGGACTTCTTTGAGTTTGGGCTGATATGCTGCATTAAGTTTCTGACTCTGGTATTGTTTTGTATAAATGTATTTATTTATTTAACAAAGTTATATAGCTGCCTATCTACCAGAAGGAACTCTGAGTGGTGAACAAAATAAAAACACAATACACTGAAAAGGCCATTTAAAACAATAATCAGTAAATAATGTTGAGGTCCCAATAAAGCTCGCATTCATCCACTAACCACCCCATACCAAGACATCATTCCATGTTAGGTCCTGATGTTGTCTATATAATCATGCTTCTTTTGACTTTAATTGTAATAGAAGGAAAGGCAGTCCACAGAGTGGTGCTTCCTAATTTGCTTTGGTTGTCCTGAGGTAAAATAATCTCCTCTGCCACTTCCTTTTCCAGATGTCCCCATGCAGCAGAACATGGCTCTCTTTGAATTCAATGGGCAGAGTGGCTATCTTCTTAAACATGACTTCATGTGTCGTCCAGACAAGCAGTTTGATCCTTTTTCAGTGGATCGCATTGATGTAGTTGTGGCAAGCACTCTGTCAGTCACCGTAAGTAACAACTGTGGGGTTGACTGGGAATTTGCTGCCCAGAGTGTGGTGCTAAATGTCCAGTATATTTACCACCCAGCAGGTTTTGGCAAAGTAATTCTACAGTGACCTGCAGGAGGGTCTGCTTATAGAAAATTACCCGTTGTTTTAGGGTTAAATAGAGTGAATTCATCTCATGGAATTAACACTTACCTGGCCAGTTGTAGCTTTAGGGAGAAAGAAGATGACACAAATGGACTAATCTGCCATTTTAGGCAAATCATCAATGTATCTACTGTACTCCAGTAGTGTATTGGACATGCAGCACTTCATGTCCAAATAGAACAAACCTCTTTGAAGGCTTCTCAGTGTGTCAGCTAGGACTGCACCATATGGTCATGGGTATATTTGATGGCAAATCTGGTGTTCTCCAGCAGCTGGAAATATTCCCAAATCATTCTGTCAGTCCTTTGATTTTCTCATGTTCATGCAGCAATTGGTGTTAACTTCTGATCTTTTTTTGAAAACATAATTCCTTTTCCTATAAATAGTAGCATCGCCACATTTAAGAATGTATTTATATCACAAGGACTAAAGAAAGCAGTTCAGAGAAGGATCCTTGTATTCATGTAATAACTCTTGTGTAGCTTAATCTCAGTATAAATGCTTGCACATCTTTTTAATTCATGCTTCCAACTCAAAGAAGAAAAGTTGTTTTTCTTTTTGCAGTGATATTGTCCCAATAGCTAGATACATTTGTCAAATGAACTATTATATACTCTAAGAAATAAATCAATGAGTAATGTAAGACCAACTTACATAAACTAATGGGAAATGAACATGAAGGATTAAAGTAATAGCTTAAAACAGAGATGCAATTACATCCAAAGGTTGTTACTGAGTTGAAATACATAACGTTACACAGAAATGGGGATTATTCAATATGTGACTCTACTTAATAGTAATTACATGAACTATGTTAATGTGAATGAAACAAAACAAACGTTAGCTTTTGCCCCGGCCCTATCCAACATGTTTTGGGGAATGTAGTTTTTGGCTTGATCGCTCACAGGCCAGGTTCAGGCTGAGAAAAGTTGTGTGTGCCTCTGGTCAAAGGAAAAAAGGACCACAGAGCTAATACTGAATCTTTATTTAATAAATTACTCTGTTGAACTTGTTCCATGCACAGATCATTTCTGGCCAGTTCCTCTCAGAACGCAGCGTGAAGTCCTATGTAGAGGTGGAACTCTTTGGCCTGCCAGGAGATCCAAAACGTAGATATAGAACCAAAGTAACTCCAAACGCCAACTCAATCAACCCTGTTTGGAATGAAGACCCTTTTGTGTTTGAAAAGGTAACAGTCCTTAATGTAAGAATGTGTCACTTCCAAGGATAAAATGTCTGCTGTTTCCAGGTTCTAGGCCAGTGTTTTTCAACCTTGGCAACTTTAAGATGTGTGGACTTCAACTCCCAGAATTCCCCAGCTAGCCATGTTGAAGCCCACACATCTTAAAGTTGTCAAGGTTGAGAAATATTGTTCTAGGCATTAAAGAGAGGTCAGATTTCTCTATCATTCTTGATATAGGAAGCAGTATAAGAATGGAATTAAATAAACAGGATCAACAACACATTTCAGGAGAAAATATTAAAATCACCACTTGGTCATGGGTCTGGGAAAAATAGTCAGGAACACATGTTCATTGAGTAAGAGCTGTCATCAAAAATTCCAGGGACCAGAGGTTATAATTTGTAGTTCCTAAGACAGGTTTTGTGGGCAAAATGCTTTTCAGTCTTCATTTCTTTGTTTCTAGTGACCTTCTCAGGTAGGTCGTTAACATTTCAATGTTACAAATGGGAAATTAAGTGAAACTGAGGCATATTCAATGAGTTCTTGTCTAAACATCATTAAAAAAAAAAAAAGCCTCCTAAAATATGCCAGATTGAAGGCTACAGATTCTGTGCTTTCTAAACAAAGCTTTAACAATCTTTAAAGATTTGCAAAAGCTCAAGCCCATAAAATATGGAAATATATGCCCCTTTCATTGCATTATAATCTTCATTATTCTGTATATGAATTGGAATGCAATTGTAATGCCTAGTATGTATATAAGAGTGCCAGGACACTAATACCTTCTCAAAATTAGGAATGCAGAAAGCAACCGAATGCTGATCAGTAGTGGGGCTTATATAGCTTAGTATTGTCCACAGTGACTTGAGGGTTTAGGTCAGCCCACTAATTCAGAGAGAGAGAAAGAGAAAGAGCCAAAAGCTCTAAAGTGGGCTTCAATACATTTATTTTATTTATATATTTCTAAGAATATTAGTCATCCTACAGCAGTAGCACTCCAGTTAATGTGGTATAAAAATTAGTTAAAAGTATAAGGAGCATGACTACCAAAATAAAGCTATTAATTTACTACTGCTATTAGAACAGGAAGATGTCAGGCCCAGCCCAAGAAACTCCACGAGACAGTACTGGAACAGCTCAGTTACTTTATTGGCTTGCACCTGCTAGACAGAATCTCACCAGACTAACTCTAACTCCCAAAGTCTGCAACTAA